GAATATTCAACCCGTTATACGAGCTGATAAATCCTAGGACGACCACCTGTTTTGCAAATAGCCCAGAGTCATTGCATTTGAACCTCCGTGATCACAAGGAGATTTTTATTACTGCTTGAATTTGAACCTGAACCTTCTAATACCTTTGACCTTTTGTATATGTATTGTATGAATGCAAAACTAGTGATCTTTCTTTGCTTTAATGAGTGAAGTGTTGTTGTGTTTTGGAAAGTGGGCACATGGATGAACCACTAATGGTAATGGATGCCTTTGCCAATTGCCATACATAAAAGTGAAATTTGATGATCTCATCTTATATATGCATTGAAGAGTTTAAAGAGAGAAAATCTTGTGATTTACACAAATGGAACAATATTTATAAGCTTATCATTATGTTTTAAGTCGTAATTTAAAAAAGATTGAAAAAACGGAATAAATATTTATGAATATCAAAGACATGTAGGGATAAAATAGTGAAAAACTACAAAATCATGTGATGAACAAATAAATTTGATGATTGTGAACGTGATTATCATTGGTTTTCAATTATTCACAGCATTATCATGTTATTAGCACATCACTGGCGCAACAAAATCACACCATAAGAAGTCTTTGTTTCATTGAAATATATACTATTATATTATTATCAAAGCAAAATTATATCATTATTGACAACGGAAACATCGACATAAAAAGTCTTCGATGATACTAACAACATTTACGGAATAAAGAGAAATCGAAAGTAACAGATGATTGTTGATAAATACATAATTAAATTAGTACCCTTAATGATTTATTTTCATATATTCTAATTGTTATTATAGGTTAAATAATTTGGAGGCATAAAAATGTTATCTCATTTTCATAAAATAAGGGTGTTGTCAATTCAATCTCGTGTGTGTATATAAATATCCCAATTAATTGGGTTGCATTGGTTGTACAAATAGACATGGTTGCATTTGAAATATATCCTATATATATATATATATATATATATATATATATATATATGGGCCTAATCAAATTAGAATTGTATAGTTTGTGATAACCATGAGATTTAATGTGTACACCACTCATTTGAGATATTTAAGGATATTTCTTAAATAAGATAAATGATAATTTAGTAATTTTACCTATAACAACTTATAAAAAGATTTAATTATTTTTTTAAAGGAAATATTTGATTAATTTTAATTATCTAATATATTAGTTGCCTAATATATATTTTGAAAAGTCCAGATTTCATACGAATCTTGAAGCAATCTTTATTAAATCTCAAGAACAGAATATGAATTCAATATAGATTGGAGAGAGAGAATAATTGCTGTCAAATCACCTTTTTGATTAATGATGTAATCAATGTGTAATTACAGAATACACTGAAAAGATTATTTATACTAAAGAAAATAATGCTAAACTAATTACAAGAAAACTAAGTAAATGGAGAAACTTGAATACAACATTTAAGCACTAATCTTGAACCCAACATATTGTCTTTTAACGATGTTTGTGGATCCAAGTGTATCACAGTGATAATGTTCACAATGTATTTTTGTTGTTTTATAAAGTGTATCACAATATGTATTTTGTGACTTCCGTTGCTTTAGAAATGGTATCACAATTTGTGTATTTTTTTTAGTTGTTTTACAAAGGTATCCCAATGTGCATGTTGTATGTGTATATTGATATCACAGTGAATATCGTTTGTATGTATCATTTTTAACGATATTTTCTTAGGTATCATAATGTGTTCACGTAAAGTTTGTATGAATAAAATTTGTTGGAATAAAGTTCGCCAGAGAGATGAGAGATGAGACTTTTAAAATCTCTAAAATGCCCTTCACAAATATTTTAAGTTAAAAATACCATAATTGTTAATTTTCTAATTTAACATTTTTATGGTTTAGATTGGATCTCATGGTTATCATAAATTATTGAGTTCTCCCTTGAATAGCCCTATACACACACACACACACACACACACATATATATATATATATAAGTATTTGTGTAAGAATGAAAGTTATAGTGAAAAACGTAAGAATAAATCTGGACCCTTTATCACTTTTAATCTCATTGCACCCATGAATTGCACTTATCACGGGGATTGATCTGGTGCATCTTGTTGCACCACATCAGCATTGATCTTTAATTAGGATTGAATCCAAGGGTGGAAATCTCTTCTTCTCATTCTCACCCATAACTTCCATTCTCACCCATCTTGTAGCCATGGGGTAGACCCACCCCACCCGCCCGCTCGCCCGCCTACCTTGCCTCTACCGACTATTATTTCACTACTGTCGTCATCACAACTACCACCCCATCCCACACACACCTCTCACACTACTCGCACATTACCCGTACTCCACCTAACATTTATACCACCAAGCCACTACTGTCGTCGTCAAAACTTCAATCCCGCATCTCCCCCACCCCACCAATCATGATTCCATTATTGTCATCACAAGTTACAATTACCACCTCACACACTTATCCATGACACCCCCAAACCCACGTAGGTGGGTGATAGCTGTGACGACAACAATAGTGGTATGATGGTGAGGTGGGTGACTAGGGCAGGTGGTGTTGGTTAAATTGGAGGCAAAGAGATGAAATTCATTTCCTTCACTTATGTCAATTAAGAAATGATAAATTTATTAATTTGTGGATGTAATACCTTGGATTACATATATTTTAGAAAGTTTGGAACTTTTAAATGCTATATGTGTACCAAAATGGCATTTTCATATATATATATATATATATATATATGTGTGTGTGTGTGTGTTATTATGTGCCATTTTTAGATTTATTTAATAATTTCGAAATATATTTTATTATTTATTTTTATTTACAAACACAGAACTTACACATACAAATAGTCGTAGGAAATCCTTTTGCGAATCTGCACCACTATACATTTCTATTCTAAATAGTTGATACCATACAAACCCATTAAAGAAAAATAGTGATAAATATTACTGTTTAAAAAAATACCTAATAATTATAAAAAATGAGTTAAATGCACGAAATAACAACTTACTTTCATAAAAAAAATTTATTATAGTATTTTACTTTTGTTTTTATTTATTACAACAATGTATTTCAAATTATTTTTTATTAAAGCATCACACATAAAAAAATCTATCCATTATAGCAATTAGTAATTTGTTACATTTTAAACCGGTTAACCCTTTGACTTTTTTTTGCTTGTGTGGTTTTAATGAGATGACGTGGATGACACATCATTTTTATGACTTAATTAAAATAAAAATAAAAACATATTTCAAATTATTATTAGTGATTTTCATTTTTAATTGATATTATTTAAAAAAATATTTAATTGTTTTGATTTTTCTTATTAAGTTGAATGCAAATTAAATATTCTAGAGTAAAATATTTCTTAAATAAATATGTTATATTATTTTCGAAATATATTTTATTTATAAAAAATGTAACACTTCTTATTTTATGTTGTTCAAAAAAATACATTTCTTTTAAAGTTCTCTCTAAAATGTTAACGAAATAAATTGTATTCTACAATTTTTTAATATTGTTATATTAATAAATAATTTAAAAAAATTTAATTAAGTTAATATATTTATACGTCAAGTAAAAGTTTTTGAACAAATATATTGTTTAAAAGATAATATTTTTTTGGTAAAAAAAGAGCAATTCTTATTATCTTTTTTTTTAAACACATATTTTTTTTAAAAAATATTAGCGAGATAAGTTGTCTTCTACTAGTTTTATTAATATTGGTATATTAATGAACAATTTAGAATTTTTTTAATTCATTTAATATATTTATTAAATAACATGTAAATATCTAAATATTAAAACTAAAAGTACATTGTTATAATAATAACTAGTAGCTGCTATAATAAAATAATTTTAAAAGTACAATGTTGTAATAAGAAAGTCATATCATTATAGTACATGTTGACAACCTACGTAGACAATAAGGTGACAGAAACTTCGTATAATGGGTAAATTTAAATCAAAAGGTTACCCAATGTTATAATGGTTAAATTTTTTAAAGTACAATATTCTAATAAAAAAATAGTTTGAAAGTAAAGAAAAACTATAAATACAATAATATAATAAAAAAATTTATGAAAATAGATTGATATTTTATACATTTTACCCTTATAAAAATAATAACAATAAAATGGAACTTTTGATGATACCTCAATTAGCAAGACCTTGGAGTTTATTATGAAGTGGTTATGTTCTTTTAGAGTATTTAATATATTCTTAAAAAAAGAGATTTTAGGATTTTGGTTGATTTTTTATTGTAAAAGATTTTTCAAAATAAAAAAATATAAAAGAGATGATGAAAATCTTTAAATTTGGAAAACTCTGCAAAAATGATTAATTAGAGAGAAAATGATTTTTTATTCTTCACATTAACGAAGATCTTAAAATTAAATGTTTAACCAAAATTTTTTTTATTAAATATTTTAATAATATAATTAATATTGCAATCTTTAAAATTGAAAAATTATTGGAGTTGAATATTTTCTTAGGTTTAGGGTTTTGACTCTCAATGGCACCAGGTTTTCTTGGATCAGATAAAAATCTACTATCCCAAATTCTACGTCTTATTCATAGATGTCTACCAATCGCATAAATACAAATCATCAGAATATAAACTTGAAGAGTTTCGACGATATGTTTATGGTTGTGTTTGTTTCTGTTTGTATATTAGTGTGTGTGTATATATATATATATATATTTTTTATTTTTCAACTAAAATAAAAAAAATGACTAAAAGATTAAAATATCTTTAAGTTAACCTACTTTTTTAACTGTAATTAGCTAGAGGGACCAAAATTGAAACAAAATATTAACCATAATGATTAAAATTGTAATTAGTTTAAAATAAGAACCACTTAAAAATAAAAAAAAAATTGAAATTAAAAAAGGGAGCACGTTGATTTCATTTTGTTGCGTCGAAGTTGTTGGTTTCTGGCGGCCAGCTGTCTTACTGTTTTCAGTTTCGTCTTCACCCCCAATCTTCCCTGTATAAAACAAAGGCTTCATCATACCTTCTAAAACCTCTTCTCTTCCCCTTTTCAATTCAATTCCATCTTCGTATGGATGTTGTAGATTGATGTCTCCTGTTCTCTGTGAAATCCTCCGTTCCGGTTTTATGATCAATTCCTCCCTAATCCGCCGCGCCCATCTTGTTCAATCCTTCTCTGTCGTCTTCCTCTACTGGTTCTACGTTTTTTCAGAAATTAACTTCCATTCTCCGCTAGATCCCACCACTTAATCGCCATTTTTTTACATACTTTCTTAAATCTATATCTATATAACTTCAATCCATGGCTTCTTCAAGTGGAAACTCATCTGGGATCCACCACTCTGGATCTGAAGACGGCTTGACGGATCAAAGGAAGAGGAAGAGAATGGAATCCAATCGCGAATCGGCTCGGAGATCAAGGATGAGGAAGCAACAGCAGCTGAATGATCTATTGGCTCAAGCCAACCAGCTGAAGAAAGATAACTCACAGATCTTGAATACAATCGACGTTACTACACAGCGATTTGTTCAGATCGAAGCCGATAACTCAGTATTGAGGGCTCAGGTCAGTGAGCTAAGCCAGAGACTAGATTCTCTTAACGAAATCATCAATTTCATCAACGCAAATACCAATTGTACAACCAATCAATTCACCAATGACTTTGATTTCGTGGAGAATCCATGGAACATGATGTATTTTAACCATAACCAACAACCTCTTATGGCTTCTGCTGCTGATATGTTTGGGTACTAGTGATCGTAGCATGATTCAAGGTCCAATGCTTTGTTGGGTTGTACGTTTATGAATTAGGGTTTGTGGGATTGTACGTTTTATGGGCTATGATTGCCATCTTTCAACTATTGGAACCAGAAATCAATGTTTGTTGTTATTTGCCACGATTTTCGAGATATATTTGTTGTAGAGCTGCTTTTATCAAGATTCATCGGTTTTAGCAAACAATGCATTTTTATCCATCGGTTGTTTTAGATCTGACGTTTATTTGTACAAAATATATCATTTTTGAAATCAATTAGATTTAAATTCAAGTAGAAATAAAAATTCTCTTGTGGTCATTTAAATGCGGTGATTCCAAGTTATCTGCAAAGCAAATGGTCATCCTGAAATTAGTCGGCTTACGTTGGTATCCAAATTAATAAAAAAAAATTGTCCATTTTGTTTTGAGACAACATTTGTGAAATAAAATTCAAACTAATCATACCATTGATCATTCTGTTAAAAAAACAAACAAACCATAAGGAGTTCAAAGATCTTTTACCATACAAAATTTTGAAAAACCTTTTGTTATGCATAAAATACTGTTTATTAATGTATATTACTTAAAATTCAAGATCACAAGTAAATTGTACATAAGTACAACTTATTAAAACATTATTTTTGAAATTGTGTAATTAACTATTATTAAACATAATCAAATACGGATAGACATCTTATTATAAATATAAAAAATTTAAAATATAATTAACATAATCATTAGTTATAAAAAAATACTTAATTATTATCTTTATAAAAATATATATTATTAAATGATAAATAAATTACTTCGTTATTGATCTAAATTAAATTACAAATAAAATATTATATTAAAAAAATTACACAAAAAATAAAAACTTTAAATAGTGAATATGATACTAATATCGATATATATCTTTCCAAATTTTTATGATATATTTAAATTTATATTTTATTTAAAAATAAAAACATTATTGTTTTCTCAAAACCACTAAAAAAACTGTATTATATCGACATAGACAAATAATAAAAGGAACATTAAAATTGAGATATATCTCGCTATATTATGCGAGCATCTTTTTAGTATAAATATATATATTTCAAAAATATATATATATATATATATTTATATATACTTACATCTTGTTAATGAATCTTGCAATGTGAAAAAACATTAAAACATGTTACTTTTCTAATGTCACTACTAAATAAAACCCATGATTTCATGATTAAGTAGAGCCAATTTAATACCGGACCTACGTAGGAATGGGATAGGTCGGGACCGACAAATGACCAAATACAACATTAGGGTGGGGATAATGCCCACTTTTTTAACGTAATATCTCTAGATTTAAATGGATTTTAACGTGTATAAATTAAAAAAGGGGTTTCAAGCCAGTCTTGCAAGAAGCAGCTATCTCATCAAGTAGGGTAATGCTGACATGCACCAACATACATTTTGGATGTTAATAGATCTACTGAAAAAAGATCGTTTTCATATTTGATGCCGACCCACATCACATTACAGATGAACAAAACAAAATAACCCTTCAATAATTGGTATAAATCATCAAAAGAAAACAAACGGGAATTTGAAATGCGTACGGAAACTTGAATTACGTAAATTATTTTGTTTGAAACTATTGTAGAATTCATACGAAATATACAGTTTGAAACGGAACGAGCAGGAAATAGAGAAGTTGATACTGATTTCATGAACATGCTGCTTCTAATCAAAGAAAAGCATGATGTTAATGTATGTTTTGGATTAATTAAAAACCAAACTACTTCCAACTGGAAAGAGGATGAACCCGTCATGAACCTAACTTAGAACATCTCCAACAGAATCCCCGTTATGAGAAAAATGAGAATTTGTTCCACATGAAATTTCTCTACATCCAAAGAGAGAAGAAATCTCCAAAATTAAATTGCAAATGAGAGAGAGTATATTTAAATTAGGCTTTATTTATTAGGAGAGAGAGCATAAAATTAATAATTTAAAAAAATTAGTTGGAAAAAATGTTTTTTAATGATTTTAAGTGGTGGTCATCGGTGGTAGTAGAAGCGGAGGTCGTGATTGTGTAGGTAGAGGTGGTCAGCGGTGGTGATGGTGATGGTGATAGTAATGTAATTAAAGGCGACGGTGTCGACCAACACTGGTGGATATGGAGGCGTAGGTGGTGGTTGTGAAGGTGGTAGAATTGGTGGGGGCCAATGTGGTGGAGGTAGAGGTGGTGATGGTTATTGGTAGTGGTGGAGGTGGCTATTGGTGGTAGTGGTCACGACGATGAATGGTGGTCAACGATGGTTATGGTGGATGTGTAACACCCTCAAATCTAGAATAAACGACTAATTTAAAATTTCCGATAATACATTAAATAAAGATTAAATCATTTCTAAAAGTCAAGATTTGATTACCTATAATAGATATTCAAGACGTCAAAACATAATATTCCAAACTTACACAAGCCTATCATTAGGAACAGGAATTACTAAAATTCAACAACAGTCGCCATCTCCAACATATGAAAGATGTCCCCCTTATAGTTATTTCATTCCCGTGCATCTAACTAGCACTTAACTCTTCATGGTGTTGCTAGTTACATTCCCCAACGGTAAGCTCTTACTATGGTAATTGTCGTCGCCCTCACTTACCGGGTAAGACTCATGGTCCTTGTCTCACTCTTACCAGGTAAGATTCTTGGTCCTTACCATATTCATCCGGTGAGGTAACGTGACTTGGTAAGTGCTTACTTTGGTAAGTGATTGGTAAACGACCCCTTAATGTTTAAACACTGAAAGTATGGACAAAACTCTATTATTCAAAACATCCAACATGTGGATAAGGTTCAATACACCAAAATCATGAATCATGGAAAACACTCCATAACCAAACATAACCGAAAAACATGGATAAAACTCAATATCCAAAATAATACAGATAAACATGAATAAATTCTATATCCAAAACAACACCTTTCGGGGGACCCGTACCCATCGGTCATGGCGAAACACAAAGTGAAGCCATATATCAAAGTTAATGAGCTCCTATACGGATCAATGGTTACCAAGTTCAACCACTCATGGTCTATACCTTACATTAGGACCCTCGATGATTCGAGATATGCTTGTTCACTAGAAATTACGTCATATTGTCAATGGTCGTGGTTCAACCCTATAAGTCAGTATCACGATGCCCCCAACGACCCAATGCTATTTCTAGCTACAATACAGGAATAACCTTCCCATTTTAAACCATCAAACTCACTCAGAAATACACCATATAGTCGATAGTCGATGTCCGACTCTAAGAGCCTGCACCATAATGCCCCTGTTGACCCAATGCCTATTTCAGGCCACAATACGGGAATAACCATCCCATCTTAAACCAACAAAGACCGACTCCTATGTATATGGATCCATTGAATTACAATCTAAATTACATAACTCCAATTGAATGACCAACGCACTCAAAATATGTTATTCTAAATAAATATGTCATAATTGCAATACACTTCCAAAGCTCAACATAGAGTATTTTGAACCGTACAAATGTCCCCAAAACTCAATTGAATTCAAATCAAACCAATAAACTAATAAAAAATGAGTCATCATAACCCAAAACACATTTAAAAAGTCAAACAAATCTCACGACCCAAAACACTACAACATCCAACAAACAAAATCATGCATATTATTCGAATGATTTATAAAATCAACATACCAAAAATGCATTATCATCAAACAATCATCTTACAATAAAGAAATCATCAAAACTCACAAACTTAATGATTTATCATCAAAATATCCAAAAACCACAAATTCTTAAGATTTATTAAACCAAATACGAAAAAAAAAATGCAATTTCATCAAGTAACCAACAACATTTGATAAAACTTAAGGAAAACACTTTAAAACTCCAAAATATCTATTTTTGGCATTTACAAAGTTTTTACAGGGTAATTTGAATTCATCTTGCTAGGTTAAGTTAAACTTAGGTTGCAAACCCAAATCGTTAGCTTCCAAAGGTGTAGACTTGAGAGTTGAGATCCATCTATTTCGGTGAACAAGAAAACCTTTTTCCCTGTCCCCTGTCATGTCAAACGTAGAACAATAAGTTTTTGTCCAGTCCTATATCACATCATACATGGAACAATGATTCTTTTCATGTCTTGTCCAATGTATCAAATGCAGTTTTATCTTTTAATTTTTAATGTTTTTAAATGATATCCAAATTGCAACCATGCATCTTCATTCTGTACCTTAGACGTTTATACAACAAAACAATCAGATTTGTTAAAAACCAAAAAACAGTAGATTCTCGTCTTGTTGACGAGAGAGAACGCGTCATGTATCAAACGCAATCGGAGAAAAATATTCTTGTCCAAAAACTTAACGAATTGTTGCTTTATTACATACGATGAAATGGTATGGTATATCTTTACATAGAAGCTAAGCTTCGAACAAAAAAATTTCGCTATTCGTACAACCGAAACCCCACCCGTATTCACAAATTCGAGTCAAGAACACCATAACGGTGTTTATTCGTGTACATGTACATTTTCCGACCATCAAAGCCCTTATTTTCTTTTTATTCTACGACAAAATCAGGTAACAGTTGTGGATCATCAAACCTGTACTGGTCTGCGAGATCGATATGCCTTTGTGCCACATACCCGTTGACTTCCATATCGTTCACAAACTCAGGATTTGAGTCGTTAATACGTGAACTTGTTTTAGGCTGTAAATCTTTCTCTTTGTCTTCCGAAGACCATGATTGATCTATTGCCGCTTTAGGTGAAGATCTACCGTTCACTTCTTGATCACGAAACTCTTCTTTGTACATATCCTCGACCATCGGTTTCCAGAGGCGCACACGGGCGTTGATAAACCAATTTGCAATCTGATAGAAAACGATTGTAATAAGTAAAGCACAATCGATAGAGAATTAAAGGTTGATTACAAACGTACCTGGCTTCTGGTGAGCCCGGTTTGTCTTGCTAGCATCATCTTTTCTGAATCTTTCGGGTAACTAAAGAATACAAATGTTAAAGTGGTTAGCGCGGAAAGGGAAAGGGAAATCATTTGAATATAAATCGTAAGAAACTAACGCCATGTATGACAAACATAAACTAGCTTATTTTTTAAGCTTATTGAAAAAGCTCGTTTGGTTAACCATAAGCAGCTTTCTAGAAAAGCTACTTCAATTAGCATTTGAATAAGCTTCAGGGTTTTTTTTCACTTTTTTCTGGTTATGCTTTTTATATTTTCCAATTAATTTTTCAACACGTCTTTTTAAGTTATTTTACATTATTATCTAGCTTATCAGTAGTTTTACCTGACATGACTAATTTAGCTACTAGCTTATTAGCCAATAGTTTTTCATCTAACAGCTAGCATTTCAGCCAACAACTACTTTTTTCAGCTATTTTTTTACCAAACATGACTAGTTTATCCGCTAATAGTCGACTTACTAGTCACAACAACTAGTTTTTCAGTTTATTTTTTACCAAACACTAGTTTATCTGCTAATAGTTGGCTTATTAGTCACCAACAATTAGTTTCTCCAACTAAGAGTTAGATTATCATATAGTTTGGAAAAAAATAACCTAAGAGGACAAGATTAAAGATAACATACGGGTTAAGAAAATGCTCGAATAGCCAAGCACGAAGGAGCGAGACGGAGCCTTCAGGCAAGCCTCGTTGTGGCCTCCAAGAATGACGCATCACACCAAGCGGATGGAGACTCCCTTGTTGCCTGAGCTGTTTCTCCACGTTACGCAGACGAGGCAAGACTCTGTCGGACGAATCATCTTGATCTCCTAGGCTTTGACGGGTCGCTTGAACTTGGCCGTTAATGGCATCACGCAAGCAACGAAAGTGTCGAGATATCGTTTGATGGGCAAGTGTCGTGTACGACCTTGCAGCCCCACAACCAGCCACCATATCCAACGCTGCCTCAACAACTCGGAGTTGCTGGCAGTATTCTCGGTATTTCCTATCTACCTACAATAAAAGCAATGTTTAACATGTTTTAGAAGTAGTCATTAGAATCTCCGAATCCCTATGCAATGTTCTATTAGATTACTTTCCAAAAGATCCCTTGGAGAGAGAAAGGAAGTTTCCAACATGGTCCAAAGTCTAACATGCCCTAAACGGGTGCAAATTTTCCTAGAGTGCCAAGAAGGGGGGCTATATGAGTACAAATTGGCCCCCATAGTGTCGGGAGACTTTGCCTCTGGTACCATATTGAGAATATGTGAAACCCCGTTAGATTACTCTCCAAAAGATCCCCTGAGAAGAGACGGTGATTCCAATATATACAAAGGAGAAATAATCCAAGTCTAGCCGGTGTGAGACTCCAACAGTAATGTCTGAATATATCAATTCTAGAGAGTGTGTACCTCATCTAACAAGGAAACGAGTTTCGTGATCTTGTTCTGAAGGTCCTGTTTCTCAGAGGCAGAAAGTTGACCAGAGGAACTGGTAATAGACTCGAGAGGCTCCCCGTTGATAGAAGAACGAACAGACTGGGAATCAATTCTGGAATTTTTTTCATCAAATCTATCAACACCGAGCTTATGTAGATTATTGCGTTTGTTCATCTTTATCTGCCTTATAGCTTCGTGAAGATTAGCTACTTCCTCAAGCAATTCCTGTGATGGCTTCAGATATCTTGAATTATAAATTCTTGCCACAACCCCAGTTGGGATTTGATAACCCGAAATCGAGCATTGACCATGGTTTGTAGATCTATCTTTCACAACCCCAGATACACCACCAACCAAATCAAATGACAAATAGTCAATATTTTCGACTTTATTGCTTTGAGAGCCATGATCACCCGAATCTTGAAGATGGGGATTCAAGTAATTGTATTGAAAAGAAGGCAAATCCATGGAAGAGGAAGTTATTTGCATTCCAAGACTAAGAGATAATTCTTGATACTGCAAGTTTCGTTCTTGATCATCTAAACTATGATGATTCTCGATTCTCGAAGGATTTTGGGGGTTTGTCGATAAAAGCTCCAAGAAAGAGGAGTCGGTTGAGTTCTGGTTTTGGTACATCATATCGATGGGAGGAATTGGTGATTCTTGATAAGAATCAATTTGTTGTTGTTGGGTCGAAAGATAGGAATTGGGAAATTGATGATTAGTTGAAGATGGATAATAAGTAGCCATCTTTATTGCAAAGAAACTGGTCCCTATCACTCAAGATTTCAATGGCTGGTGAATGATCCCTTTAGAAGCTGGTGGTGGTACCTAATTCAACAAGAAAACCACATCAACTAAATAAGAAACAAACCCATCAGAAAAAGAACAAAAAGACACCTTTTGATCATCTATTCAATGATCAATACAATGATTTGAGCAAGATTGATTACTGGCAACCCACACTGCCCCACATAGAAACCCGTCCCTTAGGAACCACGTGTGAGGAGGCATTTCAGAGCTAACTCAACGGCTCATGCTAGCGAAGGGGTTCAAGCCCGTCTCCAGCAGGATTCAAACTTAACCGAGCTACACACAATTACTCAATTTTCAACAACTCCCAATCCTAATCTCAAGCAAATCCCATGCTTTCTTATGCAAATCCCAATATATTTTAGAAAGTAATTACTTTACCTATATAAAGATTTGAAAAACTTTGGATCATGAACTAAACAGATGAAGAATTTGGGGGGGGGGGGGGGGGTACCTGTGGTGTGGAGCAAAGATGAAGACAGAAGAAAAGCAGCAGAAACAAAATCTTCCAAAAGGGGAGACAAAAAATGGATATGAACAAGAAGATGTATAAATATTCCTCATGATATAATATAATATAAAAACAACAAAAATATTATTAAAGAAGAAGCACACCAACCCTTGTAATCATTGAACAATGACTATCTCCAAAACCAAACAATGAATCAAGTCCGCAATAATTAATCGCAAGTTTTCTACACATCAAATAGAGAATAAAAACAAGACAACAAACAGTAGGGTTTATGATTAATTACGAAAGAAGCAAACCTAGCATTTGTGAAGTGGGGATTGAAATGAAGAATGATGGGGGGGTTGGGTTTTGGAGGAACCCTAGAGAATCGAAATGGGTGTTGCTTAATTTGGGTGTTTGATTAGAAATGATTGCTTCAAAAATGGAGATTGTGGAACCCTAACCACCAGTTGGTGGACCTAAACCAACCTTCTCTTCTTCTCCCCCTCTTGTATTATACCTTCAAATTCAATTAAAGCATTGCAAGTCGTGACTGTTGCTTCCAGTTTTGGATGTTATTTTGAATTTTCTTTAATTATATAAAAAAAATTACATCAAAATGGAACCAACTTTCACCTAGTTCTTATTTTAAGAAACCAACTTTCAAAATTCTGACATTATAACTCATAAGTGGCACGTTAGCAAGTTGGATAAGTAGCATTTTAACAAATTATGTAAGCGGATATTTTTCACATGTAAGAGTTTAATAAGTTATGAAATTGTTATTTTATAAAATTTAAATTGGTGGGTTTATTTAATATAATTTCCGTTTAAAAACCCAGAACTAAAAAATGGAGATTTTATAAGGAAAAAACCAAATTGGTGTGTTTTATATGAAGGTGGACTTTTTAGTGATTATCTAAGTTGGAGATAATTTTAAGTATATGATTATGAAGGTGTGGATTTAAAGAAATTGTAATGGAAAAATGAATAGAATAAAATAAAAGTGAAAGTGGGGGTATAATTGGTATCGTAAAATGACAAGAATATACACAAGACAAAGAGGAGCAGGTATCTATAAATTAATGGATTGGGTGATGATATATAATTAAAATTAAAAAGCTTCGTATCAAAACAAAACAAAAAATTTAATCTTTGACTTTATGTGGCACCTTTTTTGTTTTAGATTTTTCTATTTTCTATTATAATATATAAATATATATATATATATATAGGTTGGTTCAAATACTAACCAAAACTATTGTGCAAACTATGCTAACCAACATCAACCAATCATGTTCCATCTTTTAGTTAGGTTCAAATGTAACTCACATATTAATTGTAAGGGTATTTAGATAATTTATCATTCTTATGTAACTCCCAAATATTTTAATTGGGAGTTATAAATCTTAAAATATCACTAATTGATCTTCATGTAATAATGACATTAAGTTTCACATATGTTCATCTTACTGAATTTTACATTTATTCTTCCTATAATGGTTTTGATATTGTAAATTTGAAAAAAGTTCATTTTGTAAAGATTTCGTTATAGTCCGAGTAATATGGATAATCATAGAGTAAAACGGATCAACGATAATGAGAATGAAAAAGCTAAAAGCGTCTACGAATACATTCGGAATTCGAATTCCGAAAGTAAATAAAATAATCAATAAGTGTCCTAATATGAACATACGATAGCTATGAACACGTTAATGTGAACACGCCTACATTAAAGATTTGAGTTCGGGATGACAAACAATATACATTTTTCACTAAGTTTTGAATTTCAGTAAATTCAGATCCTTGTTGCTCCTTTAATTATCTACTTTGTGTAATAATAGTTTTAGTTTTGAAGACTAACTACATAAAGGTTGTTCATTATGTTCATTAAAGCTTTGACTTCGGGATGAAAAACAATATACATTATTCACTAAGTTTTCAATTTCACTAAATCCACATATTTGTTGCTCTTTTTAATTATCTACTTTGTGTAATAATAGTTTTAGTTTTGTTACTGTTTTATGTCATATAGCACAAATCATATCATGTTATAGGGGGTTGTTCATTATGTTCACTGTGTTATATTACTTGATCACACACATAGCGATTGCATTTTTCATACTAGGATGCATTAAGACATTTGTGCACAGACACACATATATTAACAAATATTAAATCAGCACAAATAACACAGACATAGACGTTGGGATTCGTTACTGTTTTTTGTCATATTGCTGATGTTCATTAGGTTCACAAATCCAAACTTGTATGTATTTGTGAAGTGTTGCGTGTGTGTGATGTTCATTAGGTTCACACATCCAAACTTGTATGCATTTCRYCAAAATCATCCATCATTTTGATGAATATTATGAACCAGATTTTTCGCTAATGATATACACTATTGATCGTAAAGATTGGTAGTTTTGTAGTTGATTGGAGGTTACAAAATCGTCTGAATAATATAGGTTCACGATGTGATGCGATTTTTTTACAAAATTACCCTTTGAACAGTTGTTAATAGACATCTCATTTAATACATTAATTAAATGATTATTTTTGTAGTCTCATTTAATAAGGACCGTTTGATGAGAAAATGAACGATCAAGTTCGGTTAGCATAGTTTACACAATAATTTGGGTTAATATTTGAACCAACCCCTATATAGATATATAAATATAAATTCAATTGCAAACTGATTTTCAACTGGGGGACAAAGGAGAGCGTCACATGTGTCCCTGACGCCCACATTCAGTATGATAACGAATGGCATTTGGTATGAATAACGAATGTGAAATCCATGAACTAATTATGATAAATGATATAATATTCAGATGAATGATACAATATTCATGATGAATGATACAATATTCATGATCCAATTAAATGGATTCGTTATTCATGATGAATAATACACATTCATCATATTCATTATGAATAACCCGTGGACGCAGGGGATATGTGTCGCGTTCTCTTCACAACCGAAAGTAGTTTTCATTTGAACTCAACCCTATATATATAAGCGAAGATTCGTGTAAGAAGGAGAGCTAAGGTGAGAAGCGTAAGAAGAGATTTGAACCATTTATCAACTTTAATCTCAAACTCACCCATGAATCGCGCTTGATACGGGGATTGATCTGGTATATCTCGATGCATCTCATCCTAACGTGCATCCAAAGATGAAGATTCTTTCTTACGCTTCTCACTTTAACTCTCCTCACCGGAACCCAACTCTACATATATAATAGAGTAGGGTCAAACGAATAGATATATGTGTTACGTAACATATTCATCAGGAATATAGACGTGTTATCCATCATAAATATGCCCATATTCATCATGAATCACAAATTCATGATAAATATTTACCCTGAGAGGATACGTCATACATGAGGTGTCATGGACGATTTCCGGGTTCCTAACAAAACTTCCATTATGAAGATATTTGATGAATAAGACCAACACTCGAAATAAATATCCAAAATTGAAATCCTTTCTTTGGTGCTTCATTCTATCTGCAAACGTACATAAACCCTACAACAAAAATTGCAAATCAAACAAAAAACCAAACCAAACCCACCCGATATATTAATATATATCACCAAGAGGTGGGGTTTGGGGTTGGGTTGTACGCAAATCTGAACTCTACTTTATAGAATAGAGCAGCGTCTGCAAGAGATTAAGCTCCAGCTCCCTACTGCTTAACAACAAAAACAGCATCAGGTAAGCATGATACAGAACCTCACAAGATCCTATGTATCAATCTACATCATCCCTTGCATCATGTTGCCTCCCGAATTTTCTTAATGCCAGTGAATATATCGTTTTTCTCTTCATTGACGTTCCTGCAGCCACCAATTTGACCGCCTGAACACAGAAAAATAAGTCTACAATTCAAGAGCTTTCAAGATTTCTTGATTCTTCAAGTTAATATAGAATTACAGAGGGATGCTTCATGGGGGAATCCAACTTATTCAAGAATCAAGATGCCAGATTTTTTAAGGGTTATGGAATAGCGTAATAATGATGTAAATAACTCTTCTTTTGTGGTAGTTTCATATGAATAAAACGCAGCCTAGGTGCACAAACCCTTGCATACCCAATGAGCCTTGGGCTATGTCTGGCGAATTAGCTTAGAAGCTAGCTATGTTTGGTAAAAACTAGATGAAAAGCTAGGTAACAGTGTAAAATGACATAATACGACATGTTGAAAAGCTAAATGAATAAATACAAGGGGCATAAATCGGAAAAAAGTGGAAAAAAGCCCCTGAAGCTTAGCTTATGTGATACAGAGAGGATCAAAGAGTTAACGAAGTTTTCTGCAGATCATTGAAAGAGAAGAAAACGAGCTCAAAAGAAGCTCGTAATTCTGCATTGAAAGCTGAAAAACAGTTTCTTGCACGACTTCTCCAGCGACCTGGGTCGAGTGCCAGGTTGCGACATGTCCTGACGATTTCTGCACAGATTGCTTTTATTTGTTTATTTGATTATTTTGTTTCCTAATTAGTTTACGATAAGTATTTATTAGTTTAAATTATTATTTATCAGCTTTATAATTAGATTAAGATTGTTTTTATTAGTTTACTTTTATTAATTATTTAAATACTTTCCTAGTTGGTTTAGGATTAGTATAGGTTTAGATTCAATGGTTATCTCTTAGTTAGTTTAGTCTATAAATAGGACTATTGTTTTCATTAATATTAAGTTTTATGATTGATTAAAAAAACCTCTTTTAGAGTTTTATCTCTAGTTTTAAGAGTTTTTCTCTTGATTTCCCAAGTGCTACGCTCGTTATCTTAATTCTTAAAGGGTTTAGACGCTTGTCCATCCTGTCGCAATTTTTCCGCTGCGTGGTTTTTTCAATAAGCTCAAAAAATAAGCTAGTTTATGGTTGCATAACTGAATCTCGCATCTAAGATTAAGATGGTATGGTATTGTAAAGAAAATTTGAAAATTAAACTGGATCCATACCGTAGAAAGTGTATGCCCATTGAAGATCAGGTCAGCCAATTCATTCTCCAGCTGAGCCTCTGAAGGAGTTTCGACCTCAGAAATCGCCTTGCCTTCAATCAAAAACGTGATTTCTCCCTTTGGCTGACGATCTAAGAACGCTGCTTTGGCTTCCCCAAGAGTACCCCGCCAAAACTAATGAAGTGTATACATGTGTAAGTCATGCAATTTCTAATAAACCGTTCTAATGCTAATTTTACGAAATTTTAAGCTCTTACATGGACAAAAGCATCATATCATAAGACCAACTTCTCAAAAATCCAAGTTTCATAATTGACCGGCATTTTTTTCATGTACACAAGCAAACATTCTTCACAGAAAACCACCAACATAAATGACAGAAAACACAAACAATTTGAAAAACTCAATTGGTTTCGTGCTGCAAACAAACCGTTGTTTTTACGAAAGAACTTGATAAAAATATAATGTTGTTTTTGGCAACTCTTCTAAGACGTTGTAGATATGATGAGAAGAAAACCATCAGAATTTAACTTCTTAAAAACACGATAAATATCTCATTTTGCAGTCAAGAATTATTGCAAAATAACTTAACATTCACCAACCTCTTCATGCAATTTGGTGATCTCTCGTGCCATGACACATCGTCTGCAATTTATTACAGGAACAATTAGAACTCCTAACGAGGAGAACATAAGAAACTTCTCACATAAGAATTGCAACAAAATTTCATTTTCTTTTTGTCTGCTGAAAAACCTAAGCGACATTTGGAACACAAATGAACTGCTATTATGAGGTATGAACACAGGCATTATGAACCAAATGAATCCATATAAACCCAGAATATTGTATCGCTCCATAGCCAAAGTAGCAGTACCAATAACCTCCAAATCAACTTAAACTATGACAGAAGTCATTGGTAGCCCACACTTTGAACTTATAAATCTAATATTCTATCCATGTGGAACAGGTTGTTATATATATATATATATATATAGAGGGTGGTTCAAATACTAACCCAATATTTTGTGCAAACTTTGGTAACCCACATCAACCAATAATGTTGCATCTTTGGGTTTGGTTAAAATGTAACTTACATATTAATGATAAGGGTATTTAGGTCATTAGTCATTCTTATGTAACTCCCAAATATTTTAATTGGGAGTTACAAATCCTACAATATCTCAAATTGATCTTCATCTAATAATGACATGAAGATTCAAATATGTTCATCTTATTGACAACTAATTCACATATGAAACCACCTACAGCGAACATCATGCACGAACAGATATAAAGTACAGGTATCGGTTTTATCTGCACAACCCCTGTTTTTGTTAACGTGCATGTCTCATCGTCGTGCATGTGTATCGCTACGAGCATGCATCAAGGCTGAAGAACATGATCATATGACCAACATATATCGATTATAGTGTTCATTAGGTTCACACGGTGTAGCTAATGTTCATATATCTAGGGTTCACACGATGTAGCTAATGTTCATATATCTAAGGTTCACACCATAGGGTTCACATGAATGTTCATACCTTGATATAGGCACGAAGATGAACGATTGTTCATACACATATTAATTAATACAAATTATTGACCAATTTATCCTTTGAACAATTGTTCATACACATATTAATTAATATATTAATTAAATTATTGTTTATTTAATCTCATTTAATAATAACCGTTAGATGAGAAAATGAACGATTAAGATGGGTTAGCATAGTTTGTACAAAATATTGGGTTAGTATTTGAACCAGCCCCTATATATATATATATATATATATATATATATATATATATATATCCCACCCGAAGGTAGGGTCTGAGGGGTAAGATGTATCCAGACCTTACCTCTATCCATGGACACTGGCATTATAATGACTTAAACTTACCTCGAGTCACCAAAAAGGGAAGAAGTCTCTTCAAGGAATTGGGAAAGTTTGTGAGGAGGAACATAGAATATCTGGGTGGCTGCTTCGTTTGCAGAAACCATCAGTCTCTCCCTTCTTGCACTGGCATTTTTGGGAAGAAACCCAACTACACAAACCGTTTCACATCAGCAACATTGGAGCACAAGTTGTGGATAACATATCTTTGAAGCTGGATAATTTATGTCAGTGATTTACCAAATGTAAACTCGATTGTGGACAGACCCGAGGCTGAAAGAGCAGCTACAAAAGCACAAGGCCCTGGTATGGGTATGACTGAAATATTTGCCTCCACACACAACTTCACCTACATCAATATCACATACACAAACAGACATATTAAACAAAACACTTGCAAGAGCAAGTCAACTGAAAGATAAGTGGAACCCCATCAGATTACTCTACAAAAGAGCACTTAAGGAAAGGAGGGTTCCTACTTTCCAACATTATACAGAGGAGAAAGGGTCCAAGTCTAGCCAATGTAAGACTCCAACACCCCCCCTCCAATAGAGGCTAGATGGGTACAAATACCCAGATCGTTGAGTCCCTTAGAATAGTAGAACTTGACTCTGATACCATGTAAGAATATATGGAAACCCCATTGCCCCTAAAGATCCAATATATATTGACTACAAATGATCAAAGTCTAGTCGATATGGGACTCCAACAACAGCAAGAACAAGTGATCGACGATAAAAGGAAGGAGAGTAAAATAAGCATTTGTGAGCAAATAACATGCAGAAAAACATAGCATAAACAAAGGGACTGGAAAACAACAAGAACAACATACACACCAGTTCGGAGCCAGGATCGCTGATGCCTGGTGTTCCAGCATCACTGATGAGTGCTACAATCTCACCATCAATCAATCTCTTCAAGATTGATTGCTCTCTTTGGGCCTCATTGAATTTATGATAGCTCAGCTATAAAACTAAATCATGAAATTAGAAATAGCATAAAAACAAGAAAATAGAATTGCATTTATGAAGCAGTAGATGAACTCACAAGGGGAGTTTTGATACTGTAATGGTGAAGCAATTTCCCTGAATGTCTCGTGTCCTCTGCAAGTATCACATCAGCTGATCTTAAAACACGCAGAGCTCTGCATTTATGAAATTATGTTAGAAATTCAATCGTACAATTAGCAAACAGCATATTCATTATTACCTCAAGGTGATATCTTCGAGATTTCCAATTGGAGTTCCTACTAGGTATAATCCGGATTTCAAAGTGCCCTATTATATTCAAATACGCCCTTATCAATTACTCCCTCCACTTCAGGGTTTTAGAGCAAAATGGATTCGTTTAGGTTTATAGAAACTAATGAAGATGGCTGATTACCTGTTTTGATGAGGATTCTAGAGAGAGGTGAGTGGAGTCGACGTTGGAAGTAGCTTGTGAGTCGGAACAAATGAAGAGTGCGAAACGACGAGGGTAATAAAGGGTGGAAGGCGGAACGAGCTTGACGGCTGCCATGGAAGGATTTTGATAAGTGATAGACCACCATGAAGCCGGCGACACCGGAGGGAAACGGGAAATTGTCATCCTCAACATTGCTCCTTGTCTCGGCTCTCATTTGCTATTCGCATCATCTTCTGTTTATCTTCCTTTTTTTCCTTTTTTAAGTAATTAAAACTAAAAACAAACTTAAGGGACTTTTTACCTAAATGCTTGATCGGTAATGGTTTATTGTTAGGAGTGAACGCTATAATTTATCAAAATGGTATCATGTACAATAATATATATGGTAAGCGCTTACCCGAGTAGATAAGACTCCCTATCCTTATAATCACTTTTACCAGGTAAAATTTTTTGGTCTTCGTCCGTGAGAAAAATTGTCCGGTAAATACCTACCTGATAAGCGGTTAGTAAACGACCCCTTATAAATTCTCGTTTATCTGTGTAGCTCAGTTGGTAAAAGGAAGGACGACTTTGTCTAAATACAAGATAAGTCCTGAGTTCATCCACCACCCTCCGGACTGCTAGCCTCAGCCACTAAGTAAATTAAAAAATATTTCACCATATTAGTATCCAAAGAGGTAAGGTCCATAAGAGACGGATTAGAGTTGTCGGTAATCAACATTTTTATCCAAATATTGTCTAGGAAACTTACCTTTAAATGTTCATTGGGGGAGGGTTAACTTTGAATAAGTTAAAAAGCACAAGCAAAACGTCATTAACAAGCTTTTTAACAGATTTATTACGACATTTGGTCGGGTCTTAATCGATAACCAGATTCAAACTAATTGAATATCAGTCCGAAATTGGGCTTGATGGGTTGAACTTGATCTTTTATTGGGCCTAGTTTCATAGCATATGGGTCGGGCCACGACAAATCCCAAATTTTTTCTTGATGGGCCACAACATCAAATAAACCCAAATTTTGAGCAAACAAATAATACGGGCTTATTATGTAAGGATAAATGGCAGTCCCATTTAACAATTAGGGCTGAATTCGTAATTTTCTGTATTTCATTTCACGAATTTGTAAAATACTTGTAAATAACATTTGACAAAAATAAGCAGTTTTAATTTTTTTTCCACATAAATCATGTGATATTCAGATCTTATTAAATGGTTATCAGTATGATATTTAAGAGAACAGATTGTTATTCTTTTATGAATTCGTTATGCGAAAGTTGATGTATACGACATCTCGTCACCATAATATAAAATAAAAAGAGATATAAGCCAGATGGGTTCAACACAGTATCATTGGATCCAAAGTTTCTGATCAAGGCCATATATTATATCGACAGAAAAATCGAGAAATGTCCACACTAAACGATGCTTATTTTTTGTTTCTTTCACGTTACCCCAAAAAAGATTGGGTATACATGTGCATATACTTTGACTTATATGTAGGTCGACCAATGATTCAAAAAGGAGTCGTCAATTTTAGCTCACATGTGGTGACAAAAATCGAAATCGACTAAAAATATATAGAAGAATATAAAAAAAATGATTAGTTTTGATCTATGATAACGTTTGTTCTTATGTACAGTAATATGTCTAACGAGGTCAGTATATTTTGTGACTTATACAAAGATCTTTAACTTCTCTGCAATTTTTAGCCATTGTTGTTATTGCAACCATCATCACCACGACCTTGTCATAGAAGTGAAACTAGGCTCAAATATCTTTTGACCGGTAGCTAATATATGACGAGGGTCAAACTCCATTTTCCTCTTATAGAATTGGGGCCATTTTTCTCCATAGTGGTCCATCCACTCTTGTTGTGTAGTATGGTGTGGCAAATACTGTTTAACACCGATATTATTTTCATTGCAGAAATTCAAAATCCGACGATTCTCATCGCTTAAACGCTCTAATGTGAGTGCTTCTTCACCATTCTCCAATGCAGACCTAAGCAACGCCACCAAGTAAAACACATCCTCATTTGGCGTCACCACTGAAGTCTTGTCATCCCACCTGGACATACGTCAGAAAGATCAACAATCAAACCTAAACATCCAACGTGTACAACTACTTATGCATAAAATACAACGGGTCCCACATACAAGATCTCCTCCAACATGGTAGATGCATGGTGAATGTAGATAGTTATGATTTCTATATGTCATATAGATATGCATGAAACCACATAATATTGTATAACATCATATGTATATTATATATCCTTACTTGTTTTTGTTCATGGGGTAGATGAGTATAGGGCCACTAGTCTTATTACCCAAAATGCCCTTGAAGACTCCTTGGTCAAAGTCAGCAATTCTTGATTTGGGTACAAAGAGGTTAAGCCATGGGTGTGGAACATCCCATAAACCCTTAGACCGGAGTTTCAACTCGGCCTTGTGAACCCGGTCCAAGAAATCCACATATGGAAGGTCAGTGGTGAAGACTGATCCTGGTATATAGTTTAATTTCTGTAACAAAGCTTCCACTTCCTGCATAAATTAATTAATAAAACATAAAAAAGTGAATAAAGAAAGCTACCAAATTAACACTTCTTTTTATAGCTTCAGTAACTTATTTTAATTAATAATTACACACATACACATACATACACACACACAAACACTGCATTATTAGCTGCTAATTATTTGGTGGGTGGATGGCATCGATTTACAAATAATTTGACTTAAAATATTACTAATGTTTGTCGTCAATCATCGTATCAGATCACAGAAGATCTTGTGTGTTTTCTTGTGTTCTTTAATTTAATCGAATTCATTCGTTCGTACTCAACAGAATTTTTATAGGGTTTTTCGTACCTGATCGATGGATTCTGGGCCGGAGTGTTGGTAGTAATTCTTGGTGATCTCCAAGCAGTATAACACATTGCCACCACCAGCATTAATGGAAGAGATTTTAATTGGATTACTGGGGGAGAAAAAGGAGGATCTCCAGTTGTTAATGAGACCTTCATCCACTATCACAAAACCCTCCACGTAGTCAAACTTTGGTTGGCCATGGAGAGATATGAGATACTCTTGATCATGGGTAAAACCCGAAAAGCTTGAATACAGTACCCGAATCCATCTCACCTGATATACATACAGTATAACATACACACACTAATTAACTTCAAGAAATGTACCGGAAGAAATTAACGGACAAGAAGTAGGGATACGAGCTAAAAAGTGTGAGAAAATGACGGTATGTGTGTCGTCATGAAATAATAATAAGTGACACATCAACATAAACGCCAACGATCTTTGATTGGTTGAAAAAACTCCATCGCAATGGACCACTAAATCATTGCTTCCTTTTTTGGTAAATAATTGTATTTTTTGTCGACGAATTCATACAACCTTTTTCGTTTTCGTTCATAAAGAATCAAACTTAAGAATCTTTTAACTTAACGCATTCCAAAAAAGTCTTGTAAAGCTGTATTGCCAGGATAAGTATATGAAAACTAGTGTTCCTACGTGTATTACTTCACATCGTTAAATAAAATAAAATAAAATAAAATAAACCCGTAAATAATATCGAATAATAATAAGAATAAAATGTTTTCAAGAAAATAAAAATGAATTTTATTAAAATGAAATTAAACATACCCTTTGAGGGGCAGGTTCCAATGCGATTCTAGCCCTTGTGATGATCCCAAATTGCCCTAAACCTCCCATAACCGCATGAAACAACTCCGAGTTTTTATCCTCTGCGCACGTCACCACCTCCCCCTTTCCTGCACTTGCCCAAAAATTTGCATGGATTTTATAGTGCATTGTTTAGTTGTACGGTATAAACGGGGGATGCACGAATGTAACGAGCCGTTTACTTATTAAAGGAAAAATTGGGGTTAAGTGCGTTTTTATGACTCTTACTGCATCAACATTTGTTGATTAGAAGGTGTTTTCAAAATCATGCATGAAAGAAGATGAAGGTGTGTGTGAAGTACCGGTGACGACCTCGACCTCATGAACATTGCTAATCTGAGGGCCATGGTTGAAAGCTTGGCCACTGATTCCTGCATTAGAAAGTGTACCACCAACAGAAAGGTACAAGTAGTCAGTCCACGATTTTGGTGCCAGTCCATATTGTAGCGTGGACTTGAGCACATCGATCCAAAGCTCTCCGCCCCACACGTCTACATACATCAACTTCTCGGAAACCTCCGGCGACCACCGTCCTCTCGATCCGCTCATTTGAATCACCACTCCATTGGCGGCCTGAGATTGACCGTTGATTGAATGCCCGTGGCCTCTCGCGGATACGGCGAATCCGTGAGCCGATTCGAAGGCTAATTTTACAAGGTTTGAGACGTCGCTGGCGGAGGCTGGGTGGAGAACAGCCATCGGCTCCACGGTCTTCATTCTTCCGAAATCGAGAGAAGCTGACTGGATATCCGACCGGTTGAAGCTTAATTGATTTTCCGTTCCGACGAGAAGGATGTCGGTAGGGTGTAGTGTTAATCCAACGATCACTATCAAACGGCATATAGCGGAGAGCAGTAGGAGCTTAGCTGCCATGATTCGGCGGTGGTGAATTGTACGGAAAGCGTGGACTCCGGCGGTGGAGATGGCGGTTTTAGGGGGATTTGCGGAGGAGGACGTCAGATTCGTTTTGCACGGGATTATTGTTGCTATATATAGAAGGTAGGAAATCTATAATTTAATTTTCTTTTTGATTTTTTTTTAATTTTTACACGCAGTGAGTGGTGTATGTATGTGAGAGAGAGGGAGAGGGAAGCGGTGTCTGCGGAGATCGAATTCTCTATTTATGTCCAGGATATAAGACGCAGGTTCTCTATTTATAGGACACTCGAAAAGGAAGTCACTCTTTGGTGCACAGACACGTAGGATCTCACGTGAGAGTATTTTTCTGGCACGTGACAATTCTTTAGTTCTTTTTTCTTCCAAGTAACTTACAAATTTGGTTATATTTTGAAATATCTATAGATTACATTAATTTTATATATATGAACGATCAAATGCAAACCATTCAATTTGTACAAACCGTGCAAACTGCATTCAACCAATCATAATTTTTCATTTTGTTCATTTTTTTGTAATTATGAGAGATTGATTAATCATTTTTATTGTGGAGGGTGTTAATCATAGATATTATCATCTTAATTATTTTAATTTTAGAGAAATACATGAAACAGTTTCATTAATGTTAGAGAAATACATGAAACAGTTTCATTAAGTATTATATGAAACAATTTCACAACCATATATGAAACAATTTCACAACCATATATGAAACAACTTCATCAAAAAAAATATTATATGAAACAATTTCACAAGATTAAACAATTTAATCGACAGATGAAGGCGGTTTGCACGATTTACACAAATGAGGGCGGTTTTCATATGATCACTCCTATATATATATGAGTTTAATCAAATTAGAATTAGATAGTTTATTGTAACTGTGTGAGATCTAATGTGAGTCACTCATTTTATATACTTAAAATTATTTATAGAATAAAGTAAATGAATACTTTGGTAATTTGACAATTTGTATATTTTTATAACAAATCAAATCCTTAATTGACTCATTCTATTTGCATTTTTGGACTTTTGGAGATGGAGTAACTTCCATGGTGCGTACAAATCTTTTTGTTTCACTAATTACTACTATTCTAGATACGTTATGGTACAACATTATTTGTACTACAAAAGCAAACTAAATTATAGAGCAAGATTTGACAATTAATAATCAACAAATTGTGATTCATTTATTAACAAAAGTAAATTCTTCCGTTTTTCGGAAAATTATATTTATTCAGGTGTGGATGCCAGGAAGGCTTATATTTCTTGGTTTTAATAGGACTCCTTACAAGCATTGTTTCTATTTGCTATTATTTAAAAATAATCAAGTTATTAATGATTGGACGAGACCAAGAAATAACCTCTCATTGCCGAAGTTATAGAAGATCCTTTTAAGATCAAACAATTCCATCGAATTGAGTATGATTGTATGATAATATCTACTATACCATGAATATCAATGAATCTGATTACTGCAATTGCTTAGGATACCCTTTTCTTAGTTTATAGGGTCTATTTCTTAGGATTAGGAATAGGTGTAATTGAACCTGCTTTTTGCATATCTTTGGTTATTTGGTACCTTATTCACCTCTTTGGGCTTCTATTCAATCGAGAAATAGGTTTGATTGTCCATCTTTACATAAAATCTAAGGAGTTTACTGCAAGCCCATGAAGAAGGGGCCGGTGTGATTATGAGGGGAAAGAATATGAAATTACATCACATGTTTTGTTTACATTTAGGAGTAATTGGTGATAGCCAACTAGAAGTAACCATGGATCTATCATTCATAAAATCTCTAATCATATTCCTATTTTTTTGTGATATTTTAAAGTTAAATTAAATATTAAATCAATTTTTATTTTTTGTTACTTAATTAGATTTATCTGGAGAACTTGATACTTGTTTATTGAATGTTCAACTTATACTTAAAATCTGTAGACAGGTTCTTCGGTTGATGGGAGCTACTCATCTCCTTTGTTGTTTTCGAATTTGCTGGTAAGATTTTGTTTACCTTGTAGCTATCACTTTTTTAATTGGCAATTAGTCTTTTAAACGCTTTTGCTTTCTCCCTGGACTCAAACTAAATTCTTTCAGTTGTATTCAGAAACAACTGATTTGGATGTTTTTACATGTTAGACTGTATACAAAGTATGAAGCTTCTAAGACCATATAGCAGACCTGTCATATGTAATTAATATGAAGATTGAAAGGTCATCTGTGTCGTGGTATCTACTTTTTTCCCCTGCGTTTTTTTATGGGAAATGTGCTTTAGACTTTCTGTTCATGTTCATGAAACGTGCTTTAGGTTTTCTTCTTATGCTTTTGATATCTTGATACCCACTGCTACATCAACTATATCAAGTGGCCAATTACAAATTTCTTATTTTCTTTTTTTGAACCTGTGACTTTCTTTCGTTGGTTCATCATTAGCCTTTATATGTCTTGACAAATTGGTTTGAATTTGAATGTGTAGAATCTGAAACTAAAACCGACTATGTATTTCAACTCAGCTCCTGTGATAATTTAGCCTGACCAGCTATATCTACATTCAATGTTTTGTTTCAGGACTATTTAGCAAAAGAAAAACGCCAACATATCTTTTTGTGTTTGCTAAGGTAATAGGTTTCCATTTTTTTTTTCCTAATCCAAGTGTAATTCCCTAAGGGGTTTGAAGTTAATATTGATTCAATTGGATACAACGGGTTATGGGTTAAATCCATTACGTAGGTAGTTTTTTTTTTTTTTTGAAGTATATAATATTTATATACGGCAAATAGAACAAATAAACTCACACACCCTCCTCACATTTTGGTGAGATTTGAACCCTTGACCTCCTAAAAGGCCAAGGATTCATATACCGCTAGGCCAAAGGCCCTTTGATACGTAGGTAGTTTATGTAAATATATCAGTGGGTTAAACTTCAAGTGGGTAATTTTGTAACCCGATTGCACTGGTTTTTTTTATTTTAAAACAATCGTATATGAGGTTATAATTCATGTATTGTGGCTCCATAATTCAGATATTTCGTTCAACAACTTGTTGAAGAAACACGAGAAACTCATTCTCAAGATGGAAATTTATCTTTTATTCACACCACTCATTGGGTCAGAGGTTTAGGACCATACAATATCATCTAAAGTCATGTATTCTTTTTAAATTAAAATATAAATTAAATATTATATTATTTGTTTAATAAAAAATATTGTTTAAGAAAAAAAAATGAATAACTATAATCGAAACCTGTAAAAGCCTTTTTCCTGAGAAGTGAAAGAATGTTGTGCTTTTGGATACTGATTTCTTGGTGCTTTTTGAGATTGTATTTTTTAATATGTGTTTTAAGCAGAAAAAACATTTTGCTTACCGTACGATTGTATATATAACAGTGTTTTGATATGAAAAAAATAAGAAGTAATTAATTAAACTCCCTTTTCTATTGTTTGAGTGACAAATGATATAATGCATACTAATATGGATTGTGTAATGACATGAGGTTGATATGTAGAAGTCTTTAGCAGAACGTCATCTATGTAGAAAATGTTGTTGGTCGGCATGCTGGTAAGGGGGTATTTTTACCGAGAATCTTTTTTATATCCGTCTGAAGATGACATGTTCCAGTTCAAACTAAAAAGAAAATAGTTTCTTATTTGGTTTTGTTTTGCTATGATATACAATAAAGTTCAAGGGCAGACAATTCCGGTGGTAAGTGTTTATCTATGAGAATCGATATTCTCGCACGATCAACTTCATGTTGTATTATCCAGAGAGATATCACGTGGTAATACAAATGTACTGTGAAGCATGCCAAAAAGTTCAATTAAGACAGAGTCCAAGGCGGACCTACCCTTTGAGGGTATGGTTGCCCCTGAAACAATAAAAATGTAGCGTCTAAGCATTTTAAGGTATATAAGTGTGAAAATATAAGATTTTTCTGGGGTGAAACAGTAAGATTTTTTTAGTTGAAAACCATAAACATTAAAATCTTCAGGGAGTTTGAATGAAAAATTAAGAGAAAAATGGCAAAAAGGATGGTGGTTGCTAAGCATTTAACCCTTCAAAAGCTTTAGTGGTTTTAATTTACTCTCATTTTCCAAATTTTATTTTATATCATTATTATATTAAAGAAAAACGAAAAATTCCAGATATTTGAGATCTTTCTCTTTAAATAAGATATCAATTCCAATAACGGTTTCATTAGATATCTTAAACTAGAATCCCTCTGTTCTCGGGCCTTATACACACCGCCAGGGACGAACTCAAGAATTTTTGGACACAGTGGCACCATATAAAATGGTTGCACTATCTAGAATAAAACGGTTGCACCTTTCACGAACCTAATTTTTTTTACCTTACCACGGAGGAACAATACGGTGGCATGTGCCACCAAACCACCCCTCTAAGTCCATCTATGCACACCGCCCGTCAGACTATGGGAGCTGACCATGCCCGAAGTCGTTACCTTAACCACAATTCCTCCTAGATCTAGAGATCATCTCTATTAAGCGGAGCCAATACTACTAAATAAAAAAGAGCAATAGCTTCCCTCTTGGTAAATAATTATCAGCTAAAAATACATTAAAAAGCACGTAATTTAAATTTTATAAATTACACCATTAGAAAGATCTTGTCGATACCTTCAAAACGTGCCCAACAGTGAATATTTTTAAAATTAATTATATTTTTAACGTTAACAGAAATAAAAAATAACATATTTTTGACGTTAATTGTATGTGTGTATGATGAAAACAGTATTTTTTTTTAATTAATTTGTATTTTATATTACGATAGTTAGTTGGTGCAACCACTTCGAAAATTTTCTGGATTTGCCTCTGACCGAGTCTACACATCAAACACGGTGTGTAAAGAAGTATGATGTGTATGATTAAAGAATGACTGTAATTTCTATTATGCTTGAGCTTAAATTTAGATTTTTTGAATGAGAAATCGTATTAGTTTTTTTATTTTTTATTTACGATACATC